CCGAGCTTCAATTCATTACTCTACTATGCCTCTTTACTAAAAGCCAAAATCTACCAGAAAACATCCATTAAAAGTTCATGCAATGCTCTATCACCTGAACAAACAAAAATATTCTTTTTCAGAGCAGGTAGTGAATGAGTGAAACACATGACAATCAATGCTAAGACTTCAGACGACTTCAAAAAGGAGATGAAAATATATTTTGATTATATCATCATCATCCTCTTTGTAATTTTGTAATCATAGGAGGACCTAAATGCATATGTCACACTGAATCTCCTCCACAAGAGTCTATAAATGGTAGCCATCAGTAATTCTAGTATAGGCATACTTGTCCATTGTCTAACATTGTCCAATCATTTTTTGCGTTGGTGTCCTCTCCTCCAGGCACTTTCAATGGTGCCTTGTGGCCCACAAAACTTTCAACTCTTTTCCGTACAAACTCATTGGTTTTCTTTTCCCAATAGAACTAGGACTGAGAAGCGGATCCTGGGAGAAACCTGTGTTGAGAACTGGTCATGAACAACTACCTTCAGTAACCTACCCGTACCCCAAGCAAGGTGATAATACCACTAGGATACAAGGAGTTACAGGGAGTGAAACAGAATAAGAAGACTTTAATGAGGAGAAAAAGCAAAAAAAGAACAGGATTCAGGAAGATAGAAGATGGCAATTAGTGTTGCACTTAAACTTTTGAAGATTTTAGGTAACAGGAAACAGATCAGAAGAGAGTTCCAGAGATAAGAAGTGTGAGAAAATAAACTATTAGAATAAAACATATAGCTCCATCTAGCTATTTCAACAGTAAAAGAGTGAGACCTAGTTGCCAATCTAGTAGCACATTTAAATTCATACTGTTGAGGTACCAAGAAGGAATGCTCATCAGGACAATTGCCATGAAAATATTTATAGAAAAGACAGAGTACTTACATTGCTCAGACTGTTGTCCTCATATTTATTGACACATTCACAATGTTTCAGCCATTGTATGTTCTGGACTTCTTCAGTCCAAACAATATAAATAGTGCAAAAAATTCCAATACCTCATCTCAGAAATATAAGGAGATGTTGAAAAACAGAGCTAAACCATGTCATGTCCATAAGAAAGTGACTGAAGTTGAGATGCCAGGTCAGGATCAATTACATAGCAGATGTTGTCAATGATCTTGAAATGTATAGTAGGAGCACCAGACCAGATATGGTTGCAGTATTCAATGCATGGATGAATAGTAAATCTATAAATGGGCAAGATAGATTCTGGTGAGAAAGAATGTTCTGGCATGTCACAGTGAACCAACTTTCCTACCAGCAGATCTAGCAATTGATTCAATATAATTACTCTACTTCATATTGGTGGAAAATGTGAGCCCAAGAAAGTGCAAAGTGTTGCTCTTCTGGTGGTAAGAATCAGCCATGATGATGGCAGGCAGAAAAGATTCTCTATAGTGATTAAGTGAAAGTAGTTTTGTTTTGGAAGCATTAAAATTTACCAGCCATTTCTTGCCCTAGTTAACCACTGATTGGTGATCCTTTTCAAGAGTAGTTACCAGTTTTACTTTGTTGGACCTATTGGACTTGCTACTAAGACAGGAGTAAATACTTATGTTCTCTCCCTGTATCTTTTGTAGTACTCATGGTAATAAAAAGGAGGCATTATTTTTGGCACATCCCACATATATCCCAGCATGATACTCAGATATTAACATCAAATTCTTTTTAATATTTCTTTATATTTCTCCTGAAATATTTTTTTTTCTTCTCTATGCTTGATACAAGTAATTGAATAGATAAAAATTCTAAATTGCAATGAGTCAGAGAGCCGAGAGAAACAGATGTCATAATGAGGTAAGAAGCCATCAGGAATTAATTCATCAAAATATCTGCCTATCTACTTTGAATTATAAATAATCAAGAAAACTTTGCACACCTGAAAAATCTTGGTAATATAACCACTGAAAACGAAATTAGCCATTCATGCATAGATCAAGAATGAGTAAAGAAATAAAATCAGGTATAAAATTGAGAAAAACAACTGCAATGAATTTAGATATTAATACAAAAGTTACATAGGAAACATATAGCTTAGTCTGGCACAAGGTTTCAACTTTGAGTCCCCCATTTATTTAGCAACAACACTAAAAGAAAATGAAATTGCAACACCCTAAAGTACAATTCTGAATTTTACTTGGATACATGTGCCTATCAACTTGGTTTGGTTGGTTTTGTTTAGCGGCATATCAACATGTCTGTGGGTTATTTAATGCCGAAATCCAATTATTTGGATTTTGATTGGTTGATTTTGTTTAGCAGCATATCAACACCTCTATGGGTTATTTAATGCCAAAATATAATTATTTTTATGACATTTTATGGCTTCAACTACATATATTTTGTACTTACTTTTATACCTTCAAAATAAACATGTTTTATAAATATATAATTTGTGGTCGATAAAATGTATTACTGATAATTTTTTTAAAATGTGTTGTTGGTAATTTCACTATAAAAATGTATTGTTTTCAATTTTTTCATAAAAATATATTGTGAGTAATTTTACCATAAAAATGTATTTTGATACGTTTTTAGTGTTTTATTGATGGTCATTTTACTATAAAAAAAAGTATTGCTGGTCTTTTTAATAATTTGTTGATAATTTTACTATAAAAATAATAATAATTTGTTGATAATTTTACTATAAAAATAATTGTTGATAATTTTACTATAAAAATGTATTTTGATACATTTTTTAGTGTTTTATTGAATGTCATTTTGCTATAAAAATATATTTTTATACTTTCCTAATGTTTTAATTTTTGTTTGGAGGTTTACTATTTGCCCACAGGTGGGATGCTACCACACCGGGTCAGGGTGGACGTGGGAACAACAACAAAGGTTGTTCTACACTCCTCAAAACCTCCAATTTCCCAATCAGGGGCCTTGATGCCAAATGTAGTTTGTCATCATACCCAGGATGTATGTGCCTGGCAAAGGATAGTAGTTATTATGTATAAAATTTTCAGTATTTTATTACCAATGGCAATCTTGTTAAAAAATGCCTTTTTCTCTGTTGATACAAAAAAAAGAGAAAGACAAAGCAAGTGTTTAAACACTGACTAATGTTTCTCTCTATAAGTTTATGTGGAACTCATTTTTGTAGACTATTGTCCTCATCTTTGTTGTTATTATCACAATGTTTCAGTTATTGGGCATTCTGGTTTTCATCAGGAGCTTGTTGATCCTGGTAACTTTCACAGGATAACACCCAAATGGATTAACAATGAATTTGGTGATATAGTAAGTATAAGTTCAATTGTTGTGTTGAACAGTGCAGACTTGGACTCAATAGAAGCAGGGTGAACAATAACTAAACAGTACTAAAGAAAAGAACAAGACAAGATATATATAGGGAGTTACAGGGAGTGAAAGAGAAGGAAAATATTTTAGTAAGAAGTAGAAATGACAATAAAGGAACAGGGTTCAGGTAGACAGAAGATGGCAATTGACATTGCATTTAAATCTTTGAAGACTGTAGGTTACACAGAAGCAAAAATCAGTAGAGAGTTCCAGAGGTGAAAAAGTGCAAGAAAAGAAACAGAATAGAACAGATAGTTGCATCTAGCTAATTCAACCATAAAACATTGAGACCTAATTGCCAATCTAGTAGTCCACTTAAATTCATGCAATCATGGCACTAAGGAGAACAGCTTATTAGAACAATTGCCATGAAAATATTTGTAGAAAAGACAGAGGGAAGCCATATGACAGCAATGGGAAAGTTGAGATATCAGGTCAGGACTGATAACATTACAGACCCTTCTTTAGATTTTGTTGAGAATCTCAAGATGTAGAGCCAGAGCACCAGACCATATCTACAGAAGGATGCTGAGGATACCATGGACTGAACATATGAGCAATGAAATGGAAACAAAAAAGGACACTTATACTTAACATCAAAAAGAGATAGTTGAAATTTCTAGAGCACATAATTAGGAAAGAAGGATTGGAAAATTTGATACTCACAGGACAGATAGAAAGCAAGAAGGACAGAGGAAAACAACAAACAACCTATCTAATGATCTGGATGGCAGAACACAGTTCAAAAGAGATAGCAAAAAGACAAAATTTATTAAGAGCTCCGAGGACAAGAAATTTTGAAGATGAGATGATGATGATTGTCTCAGAGTTATTTCTTCTCCTCGGAGCTCTTAATAAATTTTTGAAGAGCCAACATCCTGAAGGCACATGACACATAACAAAAGAAGTCATATGACCTGTGGATTTAATCTTGAGTTAACTAAAATATAATGTATTTTACTTACTCTACACATGGCATTGTAGATATTGAGTAAATTTAGCTTAGTCTGACACAAGGCCAAAATAATAAGAACTGCATTTGCTACACAAGGGAAGGACATGTCCTGTTTCAATTCTGTTTGTTTTTGCTTGTTATTCAATGTTTCTCAGATTGTGAAAATATTTTATGACAAAATGATGTCATTGGAGCAATGGCGAATCTATTATGAAACTAATAAAGGTTAAACTTCAGGGCCCCTAATCACAGAGCGGCCTCTGAAGTAACTTTTCTTAATGAATGAATTTTTCAACAAAATTAATATTTTTTTAAAGTGTTTGTTATTAAAATAAATTTTTTTAAAGTGTTTGTTATTAAAATAAAATTTTAGTGTTAGAATCATAAGCCAATGAGTTGAAGTAGCTAATGTTGGCCTTAGAATATGCTCTAATAACCACATCATATGGCCTCAAAATTCCCCTGTAAATGGTCAAATTTCAAAATTTTCTTGGTAGCTTGTAGTGCCTGAAACTGCAGCTGCATGGCCTCATTGAGCAAACCAGAATCTATTCATAGCCTACATTTTGGCAATGGGATCCTTGAATCTATTGCTGTTGGTTGCAAAGGGGGCCCCCCATATCTGTTCAAGCTTCAAGTCGGCAAAAATGAATTTATGCAACTGCATTGGAGGTATAATGCAAATCCTTACCATCTCCGCCTTTTGGGAAAATTCCTGCCAGTCGTTGCAAGCAGACTTGGAGCTGAATGTCCCAGATACGCAAAACTTTGTCCTTGGAGAAGCTGAACAGGAGGCTGCGACTGGTCAGAATTTGAACTTGGACCACACTAGCCATGTGACCACGTAGGATCTGGAATAAAAAAAAATGGTGCCATAGATTAAAGTCAATGATAGAAAGAGATGATGATTGTCTCAGAGTTATTGTTGTTGTTGTTAACAAAATGATTCCCCTTTTCATGACATGATTTCTTTCAATTGCATTTAAGAAAATGTGAATTAATGTAATGAAAAATAGCAAAATTGACCCCTTGCTGTATAGACGTAAAAAGAAAAGAAAAGTGTTAAGTTTTACAAGTGACCAGAAATAGTAATTTTCTTTTTCATATTACCATGGATTAAGCACTCAAAATCATGAATATAAAAGTTTGGCAGCAACACTCATGATTGACTTCTTTTATATTATATTTTAGATTTGTTTGAGGGAATTTGTTTTGTGAGCTAGATATGATACTCAGAGCCCATGTGCAGAAAGTGACTTTTTATATTTTATTTTTACTTTCTTAGTGTTCACTTCTGACCAACATGTAGAGTGACTCAGAATGAGATATGATTTGAAGCAGAGTATAACATAACTATATTCTTAGAAAAGCTTATACTTCTAGGAAATTGAAATAAAATAAATAAATAAAATAATAATGATATTTTATGTCTTTTATTGGTGAGATATCTGTTTTCTATGTAAATTCAAATATGCTCATACATAAAATTTAAAAAAATAATTTTTTTTTTAATTTCATAATCTGGAGTTCTTAATCGATTGTAATATATGAAAACTGAACTCCAGATTAAGATTTTCAAATTTTTAAAGTGATGTGATGACTTGATAATCTCCTTTGTTGATTGATCACTTTTTTACAGCTTATCAGTCTTTTGCAGGTTATTTAAAAGCAGAAAATATTATTCAGATTGTAAGAATTTTTTTTGAGATAATAATGATTTACTGATACAAGTCTTACTAATTAACCTATAGCTGGGGAGATAAGACATGGATTCATACCTTTCTCAAAGGTATTTGCACATAAGTCAATATAATGAACCATACTAGATTTGGAACTCAGCTCTCTGCACATTCAAGCTTATAGCACCTGGTATTCCCAAGCAGTCACCCATTTAGGTAACAACAATGCTTAATGTTGCTTAACTTTAGTGATCATACAAGAATCAGTGTTTCAATGTGATATTTAGTGTTTGTGATTCTGTAGCACTAGAGTTTTTAAAATCAGATGAATAATCGTTGTCTTTAAAACCTAGAGGATTCATAATGGTCTGTATAGATTATATTTTAGATATTTCTGAATGAGTTAGATGCCATGTATATTTTTTATATTACTTATTAGCAAATATAAGGTCCAGAGCCACTTAAGGTAGAGGGTTATGAAATGAGGTTGCTATAAGGGAGTACAAGCAGGGAGCAAGAGATGCCTATCATAAGGATATGAAAGATAGATAATAGTTAAGCCTGGACTTGAAAAGGTTAAGATCACAGGGATCTGTGTAGTATACCTTTGGTAGTCTGCTCTAAAAATGTAGTAGTTTTGAGGAAGAAGATGTTTGAGTGGAGCTTCCTCCTTAACAATGGAGTATGAAGGGAATGAGTCAGTATATATGACCTGGCAGATCCTATATAAGAAGGTCTGGACTGGTGGAACTAAGGAATGCAGTTAACCTAAACATCTGACACAATAATAGTGATATAGTGAGGCTTGCAATGTTTCATCCATAGGAAAAGGGTTGTAGAATGGAAGATAATTCATCACCTACAAGTCTATATGAATGTTTTTGAACTGTGTCAAGGCTGAAAAGTGAGGATTGGGCAGCTTTGGCCCACATATGGCAGCAATAATCCATTTTTGATCATCTGGCCCTTGTAAAGATAGAGCATGGTAGGAGGACTTCAGATACTTTCTGGAGTGGCACAAAGAAGCAAACATGTTTTACAAAATCTTTATTGAGGGATCAGATTTCCACTTGGTCAAGAGCAAGTTTGAATTCCAATAGACATTAAAGACGAAGGGCATTATTGAGAGTACAACTGTTTTAGAAGCATCCTATTCAGGTCCTTATAAAGTCCTTAAGCGAACACCCAAATATTTCCTAATCAAAATCAACAATAATGTTCATACACAAGTTTCAGTAGACAGACTAAAACCCTATGTAGAAATAAAACAGAAACATATAAAGCAAAGAAAAACAAGATAAAAGTAATCAATGATAATTTGCAGCAAAAGAAAAGTCACCAATCAAAGTTTCAGTTTCAGGTAGAACCATTTCATGGAAAAAAGATGTTGATTATTTTTATCATTAAGACACTCCATTCTTATGGGGGAACTTCTGTTACGGTCCAGAAAGATGATATTTATCATTCTAAAAATAACCTTGCCATCAGTGATTATAAAAAAATTAAGTCTATTTCATCCTTCTAAAAATAACCTTGTCATCAGTGATGATAGAAAAGAAGGATATTTCATAATCCTAACCCTCGTGGTTATAAAAACAACCTTTCCACCACATAGAGGGACCAGTAGACAAGTAGTAGTAGTCAGTAGAAACATACGTCAACCAGCACTCTGGAAGATCGAAAACAGATGATTTCAAATGCATCCTCACAAATAAAATTCTCAGAACCAAAGCAAGTAAATACTGACTTTTAAGCAAAAAAGACACTGAGGACATTTTCATACCAACATTCTGTAATTCACATCAAAAGAAAAAGAAAATACAAATTCTTGCTTTTTATGTCAACACATGTCTCAAATTTTTATTGTTTATATTATTGTTGTATGTTTTAATTAATTTTGTTTGCAATATAAAAAAAAGAGAAAAGGATTCCTCCTACACTACAAATATATATATCAACGGGGTAATTACTTTAACAACATTCAAATAATATCAAGTCAAGATTATTACTACATCAACCCTAACTTACCTCCCCTGTTACATAACCATTCATCATGATTGGAGAAAGCCCAGAAGACTGTTTAAGAACATGATTGAAGTCATTAATTTAATATTTAAGATACTTACTCCATTTGGTTTAGATTTAACATAAGGATTCCAAAGTCCAACTTGGTGATTTACTCCTGCAGTGGCTAAAATTGAAAAAGAAAATAATTTTTATTTTAATAAAACATAACAGCAACTAAGGAATTAAAAGTAGGATTATAAAGAAATTTTCCCCAACAAAACTTTTCTCATGGGAAATTGCCAAAAAAAAAATTATGGTCAATCCCTGGATCAGGCAGTATGTACTTGGATTCAGTAGAAACATGGTGAACAATAACTGAGCAGTACTAAAAATAAGAATTAGATGAGATATCACTAGACATGAGCAGTGAAATGAAAACACTCTGCCCCTATTAAATAAAGAGTTCAGTTCAGAATTGCCTGTAAATTTAGTGAACTACATATGATTAAGATTTTAGTGATTTACTTATGATTACAGTCTTAGTGAACTGTCTATGATTATGGTCTTGGTAAAATAAATATGATTAAGATTTTAGTGAATTACATATGATTAAGACCACTGTGATCGATATATGATTTATTTCCCTAAAACCTTACTTTGACATTATTTCTGGTTGTACTGGGTAATTCCAAATAAATATGAGCCCTTATATCTTTATCATATCTCATATGTTCTTAGGAATGCTCAAGTTTTAAAATAGTAACTGGTTATATAAATTTTGGCTGCTGCAAAGTAATTTGGATCACAGCCAAATTGCACATGGCTCCCAGCCCAGTCTGTGTTGTTTTAACTTGGCTCAAATCCCAAATATCAGGGCATTTGAATGTGCTGTCAGCATGGCTGAGAGCTACAGCACCATCCTCATCAAGAACAAGACTAACAGGTTTATTTATCCATTGGTCGAAATATTGGGACATTAATTTATTGATGCGTTTCTTTAGATGCCATGTGCATATTTTTGATACAGAGGGTTAAATTTCCTGGCTTGATGGCATTACTTAATGGAAAATTATAATTAATTCATCAAAGAATCTTGTCATTTTATTAGCTTCATGACAAGGCACATCTGAAATAAAATTACTTTTCTGCATTTTAATTGATTTAGAATAATTTAATTCTTCCAGATAGTAAAAAAGAATAAGTTTAGTTTGGTTGATTTCTACATTAACTCTTGTTGCACTGTCGGTGCAAGGGTCTCATTCTCCGTGCCTTTATCTATGACACAGAGCCCCCCCACTCTCCTACATCTCAAATTTCATAAGGTTGGTTGGCTGTTTTGTTTTATGGCATATCAAAACCTCAGTGGGTCATTTAATGCCAACAAAATTTTTGAAATAGATTCATAGTGGTAGTTTGATAAAAAAAAAATGTGATGTATATATATATATATATATATATATATATATATATATATTTGAACGATTTTTTAATTAACATATTTTTTGAGTACAATCTTTTATGAAATCTAGTTTGTATTGCTGTTTTTTTTTTAAAGTATTGATGATAATTTTTTCTTCAAAAATTATTGCTGGTAATATTTTTTTTATTACAAAGTATTTCTGGTATTAAAACCTATTTTTACACAAGTTTGGGTGTTAACTATATGCCCATAGCTGGGACCCTAACAGGTTCTACCACCCTGGGTCAGGGTGGACCAGGGAACACAGGCAATTAAGAGGTGGTTCCACACTCCTCAAAACCTCCTGATCAGAGGCCTTGCTGTTGGACGTAGTTTATCGTCATACCCAGGACAGAATTTCATAAGGTAATATTCATATAAAATATTATTTATATACAATAATGGATCATATGCAATAGAGGTGAACAATTCAACTGGAAAAGGTGAAAATAAATACACTAAATGCAAATTAAGGACATATCATAATAAATCATTTCATCTTAAATAAATTGACAACATTTTAATATCAATTTGAGATTTTTCTTGTTAAAATAAACATTATGGATAAAAAATAGTGAATTTTATAGTGTTTTTTGAAACTCAGCATGAGCAAAACTAAGTTACAGAATTGGACAAAATGATCCCAGAATGACGTCAAAAGCTGCAAAAATTTTTCCAACCTTTAATAGTCAGTTGTGCTTAGTTTAATTTGCAATGTATATAAATGCTGGAAGAAAAAAAAAGCAAATGTTGATAAGATTACAAAGTACTGTCTGGGGCTTCCAATCAAGCTTGCCTCTCCCAGGTTGGGGGGTTCAGGGGTAGTATGCACAGGATCTGCCTGTTGTTATATGAACCTGCATTTCTTATTCCTGGAAAGACACCTTTTAGCTGGATATGTCCTTATTATTTGGCCATGGAGGTCCTTACAGCAAGGCAGGGTTCAACCAAAACATTAACATTATGACTAACTAAAAGGTAGTTTTCAAGAAAAATAAGTAATGTCAATTCAATTCCTGCCAAGAGTTACATTTTCTTTAAGATGACTTTTGAGGATATAGGCTGGTTGATGTTAACTTCATAATTTTTAAATAAACAATGAAGCCTAATCAATGTGTACCTACTAAAATAATGTTTATAGTAATCATGCAACAAAAACAGACTATCATTATTGTTTTGTCCGTGTATTGTTTGATATATTGAAATGTAATTGTCGTCTTTGATAATGGCTTATGTAAGCCAAAAGCTTAGATTGGATTTAAACATGTATCAATATGGTGATTTCCTTTCGTCTTTCAATGATAATGTTATTAAGTTTATCAGACAATATGAAAGGAACTTAAAATAAACAGACAAAACTTGTCTATATTATTTAATGAAACATGCATCAATATATAATTACTACAAGTAAAAGGTTTCTCACTTAGCTGATTGATGTTATCTTCAGCATCCCATATTCAGAGTTTCATAGATGAACATGTCTGTCCACTCAACTGGGGATATCAGCAATTGACTACTTATACTTCTCAATTTTTCTTTTTTATATGCACTTATCATTGGTATAAGTTTGTTTTTTTTATAGTGTATGTGTGTGTGCATTTGTGTGCATGCACCCATGTGTGCATCTGTGCGGATGTGTAGGGTGTCATGATTATTTGTCTTTTCCACTACTTTTTTCTCTATTTTACACCCACTCTTTAATCTTTTCTCTCCTTTTTTTCTTTTTCCTTTTTTCCTTTCAAATGTTGCCATTTGGCTTGCTGTTTTTCTTGACATGCTGTCGTTTTTAATTATGGACAGTTAACAAGTATGAATTTAAGCTGTTTATGCTCATTCTAATTCATATTTAATTTCTATACAAAATCTCTTGCTTTCAGATCAAGTGAAAGTAGTAATCATTAAAATTATGATTTTGGTAATATTAGCTGTTTCCTTATAAGGAAACATTCAGTATCCACTGACTGAGTAGCCAGTGCTACACTATTATATATAATTTTGTAAATATTTCTTTTAATCATTGTATATGAGGGTTACATTGTATATTGGGGTTACAGTTTTTAAAAAGTTATTCCCACCCCATGAGACAAACTGTATACATCTTACTTATTATAAAACCCAGGTTGTGTGTGTGTGTGTGTGTGTGTATGTGTGTGTGTGTGTGTGTGTGTGTCTGTATGTTTATATATTGGATCGGATTTCCTACATTTTTCAACAAAACTTCACAGGACTGCGTAAAATTACCTTGCAGTGGTTCTGACAGTGTGAAAAATTGGAAAAACAATTGTTTTTGCACGAAATCAATTTGAAAACATGATTAAGAGGAATCGCTGTCGAGAATGAAAGGGGGACAACTCATATCGAGTTATACTTATTATAAAAGCCAGGTTGTTTGTGTGTGTGTGTGTGTGTGTGTGTGTGTGTGTGTGTGTGTGTTCTTTATATATGGGATCGGATTTCCTACATTTTTCAACCAATTTCAACAAAACTTCACTTTTTTTTTTGGTAGGTAGTGTTTCTTATTGTCTTTCACACTTTTTTCTTTATTTTTACATTCAGAATGCTTTAAAAATTCCATTTACAAGACAATTGTTTATAATAAAATTCTATTCAATCGGTAGACTCATAATTATTGAAAACAATGTTTTTGTTTGGGTTTGACCAATTAAAAAAAAAAAAAAAAAAAAAACTAATTAAGACATGCATGTCCATCAACCTTAAACAATAATCTTTGTCAATTTTATTTTTCAGTCTTTATGATAGTCGATACTTGTGCTATCTCTTACTGTTACATCCCCGGGCAACGCCGGGCTCTACTGCTAGTAGAGACTAATTAGGACTTCATAGACAAATTCTGGTATTATGGTGACTAGTAAGAATGTTAAGTAAGAATGTGTTATTTTGGTGTAAAGAAAATTATAATACATTTGAATCAGTGATTGTACCCTCTTCTTTTATGTGCTGTGTCTCTTCAGGACATAGACAATCATGGCTCTCCACAATTTCCTGTCCTTTGTAGCTCTTAATAAATTTGGTCTTTTTGTTATTTCTCCTAAACCTTGTTCCACCATCCATCTACTTGAGCTCACTAAGTGAGTTATGCATTGATATCCTCTGTTTCATTTGCCTTCAATCTGTCCTGTGAGTATCAAATTTTCCAAGCCCTTTTTCCTTATTACATGCCTTAGAAACCTCAACTGTCACTTCCTGATGTTAAGTATAAGTTTCCTTTTTGTTTCCATTTTCTCTAAAACTTTGTCTTTGTTCACATGTTCAGTCCATGATATCCTCAGCATCCTTCTGTAGAACCACATTCTTGTTGCTTCAAGTCTCTTCATCTTTGAAGAGACTGTCCAACATATAGAAGGACTGATATCATGTAACATGAGGGTTTCCTTCTTAACCTTTGGTTTGAAATAGTGTGGAATGTCAATATCTTGATTGTCATTATTTTCTCATCTAGTTACATATGCTATCCATTTTAGTTGTTGCTGCTGTTGAAAGTCCTCAAGTTTCGTGGTTTCTATTAATTGGTACAGTTCTTTGCAAAGAAAGGTCAAAATCCTCATTTCTTTGAACAGAGTGATTACAATGACAAAAATGAAGATACTAGAACAAACATTCCTTAAAACTGTTGTTTTGCATCACATACCTTGCAATTTTCTGAACACTTCAGATGCCCACCACCTCCCTGTGCCTTTTCTATAAATACTTTTATGATAATTGTCTTGGATAAGCTCTTCACTATGGTACCTAGACTTTTTTAATTTAAGCATAGTACTATACTGGCATTGAGATCTCACCAATTTACTGTTGAGTTGGCTAGATGTAGCTGTAAATTCTATAGTAACAGTTTCTTTTCTCACACTCCTCACTTATGAAACACCTTTATGACGCCATGCCATCCAGCCAACTTTAATCTCCAAAAATTTAAATGCAAATATAAATCATGATCTACTGTCAAGAAGGTTAGAACCAGCCTAAAATGGAGTACTTGCCGTCATATTTGGGCAGGAGCTGCTCAGTCATCACTTTTCAGTCTCAACAGAGTCCAAAAATGTCTCTGAGTCTTTGGGGGTGACAAATTATTTTCCACCCTGCAATCCCTCTCTCACAGACAGGACATGGCAAACCTTTCACTGCTCTATCGCTACTTCCATGAAAAGTGCTTCTGACAGTAGATAGCGACTGACATTGCATTTAAATTTTAAAGTTGACTAGAAATGACTATTTTTCTCTTTCCACTCATTAGTAAAGTTTCTGTTCCTAATTCTCTCACACTCGGTAACCCCTTGTGTCTTAGTGGCTTTACTGCCTTGTCTGGGGTGAAACTGATTAAAAAAACAATGGTACCAAACTTAACCTTCCTTACAAACAATCGCTTATTTACATTTGTTCAAAATAATTTTATAAACTCACCAATCAGATTGAACTGCATGCTATAGCAGAATGCATTGAGTCCTTGAGAAATTGGAAAGATGCACCTACAAAAAGAATATTGACATATATACATGTAGAAATTTAACGAATAAAACGCCAAAAAAACTTTTTGGTTGATAAAAACACAGATGACGTGTTGAACGGATGTCAAAATTCATTGAAAAATACACCCCTACACTACCTAGACTTAACCTCTTTTTCAAATGTAACTCATTATTGATACAATAATAGTTAATAAAAAAGAACACACTACCACCCCTGTCTAAATGATTGGATTTCTCTGTATCCTTGAAAACAACAATTATGAATGTATGTGTTTTTAAAACTCAGTAAATTTTAAAAAAAGTTATTCCAAAATTCGCTTGAAGATGAAACAGAACTCATGCTTTTAATTTAATATAATTGAATTTGAAATTTTGGGTTTCTGTTTTTGAAACATGATAATTCCTGTGTAGCAATGAAACCATATTTTTAAATCAGTTAATTTATAATATTTATGCTCTGTAAATTTACACTGAGCACTGTTTTGTAAAAATAAAAATATCAATAAGAACACCAGATTACATATCTTACTGTTCTTCTTTTTTTACTATATATATATGTTAAAAGGTACAGGATTAAACATTTCCTTCATGGACAAGCTTCATTTATTTTCTTTCTTTCTCCAATGTGATATAAACTGAATCAATTTTATTTTCGGTCTGGATCTGTAGTTCACTGACTCCTTTGCTTCACAAATCAAATAACAAGCATTTTTTTTTAATAAGCCATTCCTTTCTTCATAGACCTTGTTTGGCCAATTCTTTCTTATTTCCAACTTCATTCCTCTACTCTCTTCACCAGAAAAACGGTATTACGAATCATCATAAAATTGTTAATTATCTATTAATAACCAGTTTTATTTTATTTTTTTTTAATCATTTCGGCCCTAGCAAGGTGATAATGTCACGAGGTTGCAAGTGGTTACTGGGAACAACAGACAATGAGGAGATGAGTGAAGAGAAGGAATAATAAAAGAGAATTCAGGAAGACAGAAAATGACAGTTGGTAATGCATTTTAAGTTTTAACATTCTAGGTGGTAAATACAGGCCAGTAGATGTGGTTGGATAAAATATACTGTTTAATTAAAAGACAGAGCTTCTACTTGAATATGAGTTTCCATCAAAAATAACATTTAAACAAAATAAATTAAAAATAACAATATATTCGATTTAATCCATTTCCTAAATATATATATATTCACCGTCATTAATTGCACATTCAAAAATATTTTTAACTATTCATAACAACACACTTTTTTAATAAAACTTCTTTTGATAAGTAACACATTCATTTTCATCTTGGAATTTTTACCTGAAATTGAGAAAAAAATAACATCTATGCCTGAAGACAGTGAATGGTTTCACTCAAAGTACTTGTGAACAATATGGATTGAACATCTAATCCATTATACAATTAATAAAAACAAAAATTGCATTGTCAGTGAGTGCTCAGTAAATTAATGCATTCTTAATCTGTTAACAAAGTGAATTTGCCATTAATTACATTAACTTTATTGATTTTATTCTTTGAATGACTATTTTACAATATATATATATATATATATATATATATATATATATATATATATATATGTATGTATATGTATAATATGTATGTATATGTAATTTTTAGATATATTATTTATATATTATATATGTGCAGTACTTATTGGAAAGATCTCAATATCTGTGATAGAGCTAATATATTTAGTTGGATTGAAACCCAGGGACACAAACTTTACATCAATCCAACAATATATATATATATATATATATATACTATTTACATGTTATTTTTATGGATAAACAGAAATTATATTAAAAATTTGTGGGATTTAATCCATTTCATCTAATATATATATATATATATATATATATATATATATATATATATATATACACACACATCGAATATAAGTATTCATAAAAAGTAACTTTTAACAAAATAAATTGAAAATAACAATATATTGGATTTAATGCACTTCCTAATTATATACACACACACATATTTTCTTTTCAACACCATCACTTGATAAGACACAGAGTGTGTTGAAACAAAATGGCTATTTTTGTAGTGATTTTATAACATACTTATGTTATAAATTTTTTTTAAAAATATTATATATATATATATATATATATATATATATATATATATATATTTATTCTGTTTATACATTATTTTTTTTATGGATAAGCAGAAAATATATTAAAAAATTTGTGAGATTTAATCCATTTAATCTAATATATATATATATATATATAAAACTAAGATTTTTCTTTGATAAATTAAATTAAATTTATTAACGTATTTTGGATGTTTGATTTTGATTTCATCTGTTTTTTTGTGGATTATTTTAAACTGAAACATGTTAGATTGTAAGAATAATTCATTATTTTTGTACTGTTTCTCTCGGCTCTCTGACTCATTGCAATTTAGAATTTTTATCTATTCAATTACTTGTATCAAGCATAGAGAAGAAAAAAAAATATTTCAGGAGAAATATAAAGAAATATTAAAAAGAATTTGATGTTAATATCTGAGTATCATGCTGGGATATATGTGGGATGTGCCAAAAATAATGCCTCCTTTTTATTACCATGAGTACTACAAAAGATACAGGGAGAGAACATAAGTATTTACTCCTGTCTTAGTAGCAAGTCCAATAGGTCCAACAAAGTAAAACTGGTAACTACTCTTGAAAAGGATCACCAATCAGTGGTTAACTAGGGCAAGAAATGGCTGGTAAATTTTAATACCTCTAAAACAAAACTACTTTCACTTAATCACTATAGAGAATCTTTTCTTCCTACCATCATCATGGCTGATGCTAACCACCAGAAGAGCAACACTTTGCACTTTCTTGGGCTCACATTTTCCACTGATATGAAGTAGAGTAATTATATTGAATCAATTGCTAGATCTGCTGGTAGGAAAGTTGGTTCACTGTGACATGCCAGAACATTCTTTCTCACCAGAATCTATCTTGCCCATTTATAGATTTACTATTCATCTATGTATTGAATACTGCAACCATATCTGGTCTGGTGCTCCTACTATAAATTTCAAGATCATTGACAACATCTGCTATGTAATTGATCCTGACCTGGCATCTCAACTTCAGTCACTTTCTTATGGACATGAAATGGTTTAACTCTATATTTCAACATCTCTCTATATTTCTGAGATGAGGTATTGGAATTATTTGCACTATTTATATTGTTTGGACTGAAGAAGTCCAGAACATACAATGGCTGAAACATTGTGAATGTGTCAATAAATATGAGGACAACAGTCCGAGCAATGTAAATACTCTGTCTTTTCTATAAATATTTTCATGGCAATTGTCCTGATGAGCATTCCTTCTTGGTACCTCAACTGTATGAATTTAAATGTGCTACTAGATTGGCAACTAGGTCTCACTCTTTTACTGTTGAAATAGCTAGATGGAGCTATATGTTTTATTCTAATAGTTTATTTTCTCACACTTCTTATCTCTGGAACTCTCTTCTGATCTGTTTCCTGTTACCTAAAATCTTCAAAAGTTTAAGTGCAACACTAATTGCCATCTTCTATCTTCCTGAATCCTGTTCTTTTCTTGTTCTTTCTCCTCACTAAAGTCTTCTTATTCTGTCTCACTCCCTTTAACTCCTTGTATCCTAGTGGTATTATCACCTTGCTTGGGGTACGGGTAGGTCACTGAAGGTCGTTGTTAATGATCAGTTCTCTGCCATCCGAGAGATCAACACAGGTGTCCCCCAGGGTTTACTAATCAGTCCAACCCTCTGACCTAGCTCTAACAGCTCAGTCAGGAAAAATTTGGTTGGTCATATTCAATGCCTTAAAAGCCAAACTAGTGACATTCAATCATCTCTGATTGAAACCTGAACTATCATCACCAGTCACAATGAGTGGATGTTCCCTCAGAGAAGCCCCATGCCTTGATCATCTATTGGGACTCAACCAAGATTAGAGATGCATTTTCAAAACGATCTACTTTTTTATGGATTGTCGTCACTTCTCTAGCACACTTTTCCACAGTTTTACTATGCTCACATTCTTTGTTTGATCTCTATAAAAGATCAACAACTGTCAATCAATTTCAGTGGGTCTGGGTTTTTTATGCATGGACAATTCAATCCTGCATCTCAACTTCATATGGACTTCCTTGTCAAATGCCATTTTACCAGACTGACACAAATTATGGGTTATTGCAGTATGATTCAATCCCTACTGCCAAAGTACTAGCATCTACCTCAGAAGTTGTGGGTCAGCATAATAAGTATTACTTTCAGAGCAACCATAAGTTTTCTGTGAAGTTCTGTCTTTAGATTTAGTTGCTTCCATTTGTAGATCACCAGAACAAGTACAGAAATTTAAATCTCTGGGAAATGTTCTAACAGAGGACAGAAAATGTGACACTGAAATCTAATGACGAATTGTGACAGCAAATGATGCCTTCCAAAAGCTAAGCCAAGTATTAAGAGATAGAAAAACATTATTAGAAACATAGAAAAGAGTACTTTAGTGTTATGTGATATCAGGAAAAGAGATATTGTACTGGCAACATGCAGAAAACAGGAATAATTGAAACATTAAATTAGAAAAATGGAAGAGACATATTGGGTGATCAATATTTTTAATCTTTTGCCAAGCAAAGCTAAGCTTAGTAAATGGTTTAATCTCTGTCATCAATTAAATTTACTATTCTAAATACCTATTAAATTAAGTCTAAGGGATTATGTTTTAAGTGAGAAAAGGCCAAGGCTTCTAAGTCTATCAGGGTAAGGAATATTTTTCATTTCAAAATCATTGTTCCCAAGCTGAAACAATTTTGAATTAAGAATTGTCCTTTTCTTAGATTGATTGTGAACAAGTCCGCCCTGCTATTAACTCCTAGTTGAGGAGAGAAGAAATGGATTCTTACCTTTCCCAAGGGTATTTATGCAAAAGTG